TTCCAAAGTCACTTCCACATTTTCGGGTATCTTTTCAGCTGCACCAACTCTACTGGTACTAATTTACTGTATTAGTCCATTTTCATGCTGCTGATAAAGACATACGCAAGACTGGGCAATTTACAAAAGAAAGAGGTTTATTGGACTTACAGTTCCACATGGCTCGGGAAGCCTCACAATCATGGCAGAAGGTGAAAGGTGCATCTCACATGGCGGCAGACAAGAGAATTTGTGCAGGGAAACTCCTTTTTAAAACTATTAGATCTTGTGAGACTCATTCACTATCTCGGGAACAGCACAGGAAAGACCTGCTCCCATATTTCAATCACCTCCCACCAGTTTCCTCCCATGACACATGGGAAATGTGGGAGTTACAATTCAAGATGAGATTTGGGTGGAGGCACAGCCAAACCATTTCACAGAACCAAACGGAATTTTTTTCTATCAAGAACTAACTGATGTGAGTTGGGAGGGAGTATGAGGATGGAAGATTTACTTTCTTTCACTAAGACGAATGAAGAATTTTCCCCAATACATGGGAGATGCAATAAAAGCACACAAAAAAACTCCCCTGGGATGTACATTTTCCACACAAATCTGGGAGCACTGTTCAAGTGGCTATTTAGATGACCTACAAATTCACACAAGTTGCTCTATCTTGAGGACCCTACTAAGCATACAACAGAATAAATACAGCCTGGAGAGACTTCTTTCAAATCATCTAAGAATGAAACTCTGACTTTCAGGCTTTCAGAAAAACAATTTGTATTCCACTTACATCATAAAAAAGAAGGAATAACCACTGTAAACACGTATTCAATGTTTGTAAGTTCCCAGTGTTGTATTATTTGTTTTATCAAATTTGCCCCTAGTTGCATCTTTATTTCTCTTAAGTGATTACTAGTAAGACAACGTGGGTGTTTGTTTTAAGGAGCAGGAAAAACAGGATTACACTGATGGTGAGATAGAAGAAAGGGAGGACATAGTGAATTTATGGACTTGGCCTAATTTACTGGATCTTGTATGACAGGTAAATACTAGGAAGACACATATAAACTTTAAAAGTATGCTTTACTTTCAAGGAGATAACAAGAGTCAACAATTACAGTTAAATATAGTGTCTTGGTAGAAGTACACAGAGGGTGTTGTGACAAGAAATGAAATTCAGACTGTGTTGCATAATGGGGAGGCTAGAAATGACACCTGAACCAAGAGTCCAGAGAGAAAAAAAGAAGGATTAGCCTTGGTGAAAATGAGAGAAGGGAGGAGAGCACATTGGGACAGAGAAAAGGAGGAACAGAAGTACTATGACGCTAATTAGAATGAAAGAATGAGATGTGGGGAGCCCAGAAGTCTGAGAAATATGATAACTGATCTGGGGAAGTAGTGTAAGATAAAGTAGAGAGAATGGGGGGTTGTGAAATGCCTTAAACACTAAGCTACAAAGTTTAACCACTATCTCAAAAACACAGAAGCCTTTAAAAGGTTCAACTAACCAGGGAAATTAAATTATTAGATTTGTCTTCTAAAAAAATTACATTCTGGAAAGCAATTTGGCAATTTACCAAAATTCTTTAAAATGTACATATTATTCATGAAATTAATGTCTTCCTTTTCTGAGAAGTAAAATGACTAAAAACTGTATACGCCTTTTTTTCCCAGCCTCTAGTAGAGAGGAACATGGACACCATGTCTTGCACAGAAACGGGTCAATCTTGGTTCTGAAATAGTCTATTCAGATACTAGTCTGCCAAAGAAAACTTTTATCTGATTAGTCCACCTAAGACAAAAGTCTCAAAGGTTGTCTCATGTTTTGTGTTATTCAGTGTAAAGAAGTAAAAGTGCTTTGTCAAACTGTTTTACTACTCAGCCTGTCTTTACTCATCTAAAATGTAGTCTTTAACCTAATTCTATCATACAGACTTCAGAGTTGGGTAAGAACTTGAAGATATGACACGTAGAAAATATAGTTGTTTAAATACAACCTAATAAATGTAAATGTACTTAAAGTCAATGTTCTAGATTTTTCTCCTTTCCTCTTTTCAATCTTAATCTCAGTCCTGTGATTCGTATGTTATAAATGCTGAGTGTATCTTTTAGTGTTGAAAAAAGAGAGAAAGAAAAGAGAGAGCTATTCCTTTATATATTTTATTATATCACAACTATTTTTTATAGCCACTTTAAAAAATATTTTATTGACTTGCCCATCAGTGATAAACTGGATAAAGAAAATGTGGCACATCTACACCATGGAATACTATGCAGCCATAAAAAAGGATAAGTTTGTGTCCTTTGTAGGAACATGGATGAAGCTGGAAACCGTCATTCTCAGCAAAGTAACACAAGAAGAGAAAACACCACATGTTCTCACTGATAAAGGGGAGTCGAACAATGAGAACACATGGACACAGGGAGGGGAATATCACACACCGGGGCCTGTTGCAGAATGGGGGTCTGGGGGAGGGATAGTATTAGGAGAAATATCTAATGTAAATAAATTTACAAAATGCATTTTGTAAATATATTTACAAAAAATGTATTTCTCTTTATCATTAATATATGAATAATATAAACTATAAAGAGGTATGCAAAGATTTCATCTGGGCTGTCTTGGATTGCAAGTCATTTTACATTTTACATTTTCGGTATATGTTTTTCAGTTTCTGTTCCAGATTATCTGCAAGAAGCATGTATTTTATAATTTGACAAACTCTTAAAAAAATAATATTGTTCTATAGAGAAGGATAGAAAGGGACCAGGCTGAGTCAGATGCCAGTTATTTTATGGCTGATAGAATAATCTGAATGAGAAACGTGAGACATGGAATGCAGGGATGAGGATAAATTTGAGAAAGATCATTTAACAAACTAGAACCTACGGAAGGTGGACAATGATGGGGATGATGGAGAATAGATGAGGAAAGGGAATACTCTAACATAAGGGGTGGATGATTGTGTCATTCCCTGAAGTAGGATATACAGCAAACTAACAAGTTTGGAAGGGGGAGAAGACAAAGAGGATTATTTGGGACTGTTGAGTTTGAGATGTCTGGGGACTTCTAGACACGGTTGCCTAATAGATAGTGGGATACAGGTCTGGAACCTTGAAGAGTGGTATCAGATGAAAGTACACATTTGGGAATCATGTTGTATAATTGTTCACTGTTTCGATGAAGAACATCATGGAGAACCTTCAGAGAAGCATAATGAACAGAGGATAAAGCTCTAGGGAAGACTGAGGTGAATAGAGAGAAGGCTGAAGATGCTAAGAGCAAACAGAAAATCAGAAGAGTGTAACATAGCAAAACCAAGGAAAGATAATTTCAAAAAGAAATAGACATGGCCAGAGATGAGAATTTTTTGGTAAGACTGAAGACCATGCTCTTTGGGTTGCTAATCAAGGTTGTATATGATTTTAATGAAGCTTTTTTGGGGTGGTTCAAGTGAAAGACAGATTGTAATAAGTTGGGAGGGAGAAGGAAACTCAGAATGTTGTAGATTTGGAATGACTTGGTGAATGTAGATTACCCTCTCAGGAAGCAGGGAAACAAAGAAAGAGGGTGATGGTCCCAGGCACTTTTACATCTCAAAGACTGCTTTCCTTGCCCATAAAACAAGGAAAATACAGCTAGTACCTGCTTAGCAATGGTGTCCTAAGGATTAAAATCTATTACCAATGAAATATACTTGTATCCTTTTGCTGAATTCAAATTTATTGTTGTTAATCACCATATGTTCATTTTCATAATGTCTTAATCAGTAAAGTCAAGTGAATAACAAAACATACAGTTAACTGGCTCTGTGTTTCCCTAGGTCAAGTTCTTTGACTGTATATACCCGAGTTTGACCTTAGAAGATATTAACATTTCACTCCTTTAGCACTTAGAACAAGGACAGTTTAAGTTTGGTCTGGAATTAAGGCAGAATTTCTTCTCTCATCCTGCCTTCCAAACTGAAGAAATGGCCTCAAATGGAGATTCTAAGAGAAAATGTCACTTGCTTTATGAATCAGTGTGCCCCTCTGAGAATACCTATTGTGGATTGGTTTAATATCCAAAAATTTTTTCAGATCCAACTCTTGACATCGCTGTCTACTTTTTGTGTTTCGAAGATTTCAAAAAACCCAATGAGTTTATGCTTTATGAAGTCATACAGCCATGGATGTGATGTCACAATTGTGGCCAGCTCACCAGGAAGCAGGCAGAGCAGGAAAAGCTGGGTCTACACTGCAAGTCCAGAGAGCAGGGAACTACCTTGAGTACTCTACTCAAACTTATGTCTCAGAGTTCCCCAATTTCCCAAGAAGGCAGTGATAGAGGCCACAACCCAGGGGGTCATCTCTCAAGGTACCAATAGCTTTGCAGGTAAGAGCATGGGGCCTCATCTCTTTCCAGACAGTCCAAAAGAAAAGCTCAGCAGTTCAGACATTTGCAACCTAAAAGAAGGGTTCTGATCACCACCAGAAAACAAAGAAAACAAAGCCAAAAACAGATTGAGGAAACAGAAAATACATCATGCTTTTAGAGCATTATTTTTATAAATATGCTCTTAATTTAGCCTAGTTAGTGGAAATTTCTCAAGTGTGTATGTGTCTGTGTGAACGTTGTGTATTTTAAACTTTTTGGAGCTTAGCCAGATACTTCGAATGCTAATCCTGGCAGAATTTCCCTTTAAGGATGTCCTGTAGAGAATTTGTTACTCATAGTTTTAAGTAAAAATTGACAAGTAGTGCTTTTTCAGCCCAGTAGGAGTAATGCACATGGTGTAAGACTTGGAGCAAATGCAGGGACCCTTCTGTTTTCTCCTGCAAAGTTGAAAAAGCTACATGCAGTTGGAAGGGATCTTCAGATGGTGCTGGTGACTCTCTGTTCCTTTGGGAGTTAACACGCATATGGATTGGAGGAAAAATAATCAACATATATTCTCCTTTTGTATTGTTTAAATCACAGGAAGAAGCGGCTTTAAGACAAAGTGAGTTCTTTCACCCAAATGTTTCCTTTGTTTTGTTTTGTGGTATTTTGACTTCTGTAATTTTTTTTTTTAAGGATGAGAAATTTTTATAAACTTTCCAGTAACTCCTTAAGAGAAAAATTTTGCTTGGCAAAAGTGTATGCCTTTTGAAGTTTCTTGGCCATTTTAGCTAACGATTATCAAATTTTACATGCTGAGCTTTTCAGATTTCTCATTCTCATAACTTGCGTGTGGAGGTTACATAGTGCCAGATAACTCCTTGGAATTGTCTCTTGAGTTTTTCTAATGGTTTTAATGCAGGGTACAGCTTTATTGTTGTAAAAAGAGGAAGAAGAGGAGGGCTCTTGAGATTTTATTTGCCTTCGTTTATTTGAATGAATAACATTATCACTTAGCATATTTTATGACTAGATTTATATTTCAAGAGCACATTTTGAAGTCACTTACAGGTTTTAAGTAAAAGGAGTTAATGAGATTCCTGCTATTTTCAAGAAAAATCTGCCTACTTTCCAGAAGTGGGCATACAAAAATTCATAATCTTAGGTTTCCTAAGGTTAAATTAAAATATCTGTGTTTCCAGCCCACAGAAATATATAATAGACTCTATCAATTTAAAGTGCTACTTCTTGAAACAGAGGTAGTGTTATTCAGGCAAAAAGCATACACGCCATATGTGTTAATGCTTTCTCTCTCACTATTTTAGTCCTATCCTCTTTGGTACCTATCATTCATTTGAAAACCAAATGTAGCTCCTCGGCTGTCATTTCAGACTTCAGAAAATTGGAAATTAAAAAGAATTATTAACAAAATGCATAGCTCTTATACATAAAATGTAAGTAAATCCTTGAGCTCTTTTAGCCCTCATTTCGTATCCACAATACCATCATGTGTAAATACTAGCATTTTTATTAGCAAAGCATATGGATTAAAATTTAACATAAGTATTGCAAACATATGTATCATACAAGATATTTCTTAACATATGTGTTATGATATATGCTTAAAGCCATAATCCAAATTGCTTTAAGGGGAAGGTAAACTCTGGTGTCTGTTTTCTACACTTGTTCTATTTATTCTCACATTATCATTAGTTGCCAAATCTGGGACTGTTCTACCTAAGCAAGAGTAGCAGATTTGTGTTTTAATATAACACCACTTCACTGACAAATTTACCTCTTATTTTCATTACACTTGCCAACATTTTGAGTAAAGCTGAATTAATTTGTATTTATTACACAAGACTGGGTACTTTTCTACTAAAATATTACAAATAAGAGTTTAGAATATTTAGAGATGCTTTAATTTGTTTTTATTTTTATGTTTTCAATTGAGGGGATATGATCTCTTTAGAAATGAAAGCTGAATACTTGGGTCCGCATGGGAAGCTCTGAATCAGATATTAGTTAAACCAGCTTGCATTTCCCTGTTCTCGAAATTATCTTTTTCCTCTCCAATTACCATCATTTTTCTTGGTTGCTTTTTGGTACCCTTGAAAGCTCATTGAAGAAGAGGAAGAGAAGAAAGAGGTAGAGGAAGAGGAGGAGAAGGAGGGCTCCTTTTTGCCCAACATGCCTCAAATCCCTGCAAAATAATCAGCTTGAGGCCAGGCATGGTGGCTCACTTCTGTAATCCTAGCTTTGGGAGGCCAAAGTCGTGGGGATCACTAGAGCCTAGGGGTTCAAGACCAGTTGGGGCAACATAGGGAGACTCTATTTAAAATAAAAATAAATAATAAGCTTATTGATGATATACCCTAGTATTTTATATGAACTAGTAAAGCATTCTTATGGGTTTGGATTTACCTTATCTTTACTATATGTCTAAACTTTCACATGGGCTAATTACCCTGATTAGAACATACTAGGGTATGTCAACGGCAAGGTTTACATTCATTAAATAAATAAAGATAGAGAGTCTATTTGAAAGCAATAGTGTGATGTGGAGAAGACAGTCAAGGTTTTGAAGTGTCATTCATACTGAGTTTTCTATGAATGAGGGCAGGTGAGTTTGCCTCCCTACCTTAAAGATATAATTACAACAGCTGTATTACAGAATTTTATATTAGAATAATAATAACAGTAGTCATTTTTATTTTTTTTCTTCTCAAATTCTTCGGTTACATTTCCAGCACCAATGGACCTTAAATTTATCTCACTTGATTTTTAGCAAAGCTTTGAGCTACTCCTTTGCATATTCATGTTGTCAAAGGAGTATTTACCAAATGGATCCTGAGTAGATTATTTTGATAAATTCAGGTTGTCTCCTCACATTTAAAAATATACCTTTTTGTATTTTTACAATTTCATTGCAATTGTAATCCTCTAAAGATGGTGGTGTGGAAGTGGAGTGGAGAAATATGCTTCTGGGGCTTGTTTTCCAGTTTGATTCTGTTTAATTATTTCTTACAATTGTTCATAAAACAATTTAAGTAACATGTCATAAGTCACATGACTTCTAAGAATTTTCTTCTTTTTTCTTTTTTGCTTTTATTATTACTATAGACATATAACTGTACATATCTATGGGGTACAATGTGATGTTTGTATACATGTATACAACAAATTATCACATCAGTGTAATTAGCAAATTTATAACTTTATTTTTCATTTCTTTGTGTTGGAAATATTTAAAATCCACTCTTATAGCTATTTGAAAATATACAATAAATTGCTAATTATAGTTACCCTATAGTGCTATAGAACACTCGAACTTATTCCTCCTATCTAGCTGTATTTTGTATTTCTTAGCCTACCTTTGGCTATCTCTTTCTTCCCCCTACCCTTTTTTGCTTCCAGTAAGAACTATTCTGCTCTCTCCTTCTATGAGATTGACATTTTTAGCTTCTGCATATTCATGAGGACATGCAGTATTTAACTTTCTGTTTCTAGCTTATTTCACTTAAAATAATGTCCTCTAAGCTCATTCATGTTGCTGTGAATGGCAGAAATTTGTTCTTTTTTACAACCAAATAATATTCCATTGGGATATATAGCACTTTTTTTAATCCATTCACCTATTGATGGAAACTTAGGTAATTTCGTATCTTGGCTATGTCTTGTGAGTAGTACTGCAATAAACATGGAAGTATGGATATCTCTTTAACATACTGATTTCTTTTCCTTTGGATATATACCCAGTAATGGGATTGTTGGATCATATGGTAGTTCTATTTTAATTTTTTGAGGAACCTCCATACTGTTTTCCATAATGGATATATATATACACATGCACACATATATATGTATATTCCAAATAGCATATAAGAGTTTGCTTTTCACCACATCCTTGTTAGCCTTTTTTTTTTTTTTTTTTGTCTCTTTGGTGATAGCCATTCTAACCGGGGTGAGATAATATCTTCTTGTGGTTTTTATTTGCATTACCCTGATGATTAATGACATTGACCATTTTTTGTACATGCCTGTTGGCCATTTGTATGTCTTCTTTAGAGAGATGTCTATTCAGCTTATTTGCCTACTTTTTAATGTGAATTTCTTTTTGCTATTGAGTTCATTTTATATTATGAATACTAAACTCTTGGCAGATGAATAGTTTGCAAATACCTTCTCCTATCCTGCAGGTTGTCTTTTCACTCTGTTAACTGTTTCCTTTGCTGTGCAGAAGCTTTTCAGTTTGACATAATTTCATTTGTTTATTTTTGCTTTGGCTGTTTGTGCTGTTGAGATCTTATCCATGAAATCTTTGCTCACACCAACGTCCTGAAGTATTTCCCCTATGTTTGCTTCTAGTTGCTTCATAGATTCAGGTCTTATATTTAAGTTTTTAATCCATTTTGAGTTGATTTTTACATGTTATGTGAGGTAGAAATCCAGTTTCATTTTTCTGCATATGAATATTCAGTTTTCCCAGCATCATTTTTCAAAAAGGTTGTTCCTTCCCCATTAAATATTCTTGGCAGCTTTGTTGAAAATCATTTGGCTGTAACTATGTGAATTTATTTCTGGGTTCTCTATTCTGTTCCATTGTTCTATGTGTCTATTTATATGCCAATATCATGCTATCTGGGTTACTATAGTTTTGAAATATATTTTGAAGTTCAACAATGTGATTTCTCCAGCTTGATCATTTTGCTTAGGATTGCTTTGGCTATTCAGGGTCTTTTGCGGTTTCATATACATTGTAGGAAATTTTTTTTGTTTATGTGAAGAATGTCATTGGTATTTTGATAGCATTGCATTGAATTGGTAGATCACTTTTAGTAGTATTGTCATTTTTACAATATTAATATCTACAATTCATGAACATGAGATTTTTTTGTGTGTGTCCTCTTCAATTTTTTTCATCAGTGTTTTGTAGTTTTTATTGTAGAAATCTTTCACCTCCTTGGTTAAATTTATTCCTACATGACTTTTTATGTAGCTATTATAAATGCAATTTGTTTCTTGATTTTTTTTCTACTAGTTTGTTTTTGGTGTATAGAAAAGCTACTGGTTTTTGTATTTTTATTTTGTATCCTCCAACTTTACTGAATCTGCTTATCAGTTCTGAGATTTTTGGTGGAGCTTTGATGGTTTTCTGTATAGAAGCTTTTGTTATCTGCAAATGAGGACAATTTGACCTCCTTTTCAATTTAGATGCTCCTTATGTCTTTCTCTAGCCTAAGTGCTCTCTCTAGGGCTTCCAGTACTATTTTGAATAAAAGTGATGAAAGTGAGATCATTGTCTTGTTCCAGATCTTAGAAGAAAAGCTTTAAACTTTTCTCCATTCAGTGTGATATTGGCTGTGGATTTGTCATACATGGCTTTAATTATGTGGAAGTACATTCCTTCTATACCTAACTTGTTGAGAATTTGTTAGGGATGCTGGATTTTTCTCAAATACGTTTTCTGTATCTCTTGAGATGATCAAAGGGTTTTTGTCTTTCATTTTGTTGACGCAAGGTGTCACATTTATTCGTTTCTGTATTACATCCCTGGGATAAATCTGACCTATGTGGTGAACAACCTCTTTAATGTGCTGCCAGATTGGTTCACAAGTATTT